GATGCCGATGTGACTGGTGAGGACGTGGGCGACGGGAGCGCCATCCCGGTGGTTGTTCATAACTGTCGAGGCTGGGAAGCGACCGGGACGCCCTTCCATTGGTGGAGAAGGATCTACGGTGCAGGCAAGCAGTGGGCTTCATTTAGTGCCACAGAGAAAGGAGCCACCAGCCACAGAAACACGTGGAGGCCCTTCCATGCATGCTACCGAGTGAAAGAAGCCAGCCTGGGAAGGCCACATACTGTGTGATTCCAACTGCGACACTCTGGCAAGGAAAACTGTGGAGACAGAACAGGGGTCCATGGCCGGGGTGGGGGACGGGGGAGCAGGCAACACACAGGCATGTAGGGCCATGGGATTGTATGTTCTTCCAAACACACAGAAGGTAAACAACAGAGTGGCCTCTGCACAAACCATGAACTCCGGGTGACAAGGATGTGTCAGTGTGGGCTTGTTGATTCTAACAGACACGCTGCTTTGGTGGGGGAGGTTGATAATGCGGCAGGATGTGTGTGTGTATGTGTGGGTAGGCTCTGTGTGTGTGTGTGTGTGTGTGTGTGTAAGGCTGTGTGTGTGTGTGTGTGAGGACGGCTGTGTGTGTGTGTGTGAGGACAGCTGTGTGTGTGTGTGTGAGGAAGGCTGTGTATGTGTGTGGGTAGGCTGTGTGTGTGTGTGTGACGAAGCCTGTGTGTGTGTGTGGGTAGGCTGCATGTGTGTGTGCTTGTGAGGGAGGCTGTGTGTGTGTGTGTGTGTGTGTGTTTGAAGGAGGCTGTGTGTGTGTGTGAGATGAAGGTGTTGTGTGTGATGGAGGCTGTGTGTGTGTACGAGGCTGTGTGTGAGGAAGGCTGTGTGTGTGTGAGAGGGAGGCTGTGTGTGTGTGTGTGTGAGGAAGGCTTTGTGTGTGTGGGTAGGTTGTGCGTGTGTGTGCCAGAGGCTCTGTGTGTGTGTGTGTGTGTGTGTGTGTGTGATGAAGGCTGTGTGTGTATGTGTGTGTGGGGAGGCTCTATATGTGTGTGTGTGTGAGAGGCTGTGTGTGAGAGGCTATGTGTGTGTGAGAGGGAGGCTGTGTGTGTGTGTGTGTGTGTGTGATGAAGGCTGTGTGTGTGTGTGTGTGTGTGTGTGTGGAGGCTCTATGTGTGTGTGTGAGAGGGAGGCTGTGTGTGTGTGTGTGTGTAGCGCGTAGCATGTAGCGTGTGTGGGGAATGCATGGAAAATATCCATACTTTCCACTCAATCTTGCTATAATCTAAACTGCTGTAAGGACAACACCTATTACCAGCGCACCGGGATGGCGTCTGTGTCCACTGCAGTCAGCGCAGGGACAGGCCGAGTAAAGAGAATCAATGGTTACTTTATCTCAATTGTCAAGTCATTAAAAATATCAGCTAAAACTGACTTTAGAAGCACAAACAATATTATGCATTATATTCTGTATATTCTAAATACATGTTTAAAAGAACGTTTTCAAGAGAGTCTAATATATGTTGTTCTGAAAACATAACATTGTATGCAAAAAACAAAATGTGATTTGCTTGGGACTTTCCTATCAATACAGGAATTGTTTTTGGCCGTTTTTCTTTATGAAAGCCCGAGCGATTCCATGGGTCTCCTGGGCCGGTGACTCTCAGCACATGCTGGGAAGCGTTGGCAGCCCACAGGTGTGCTTCTGTTGTATTTGGTACCAAATCACCAAGCCTTGTGTGCAGACACGGGAGTGGCCAAGCGGGGCCGGGACCAGCAGGCTCTGCCATGCCCTGAGCTGGCCATGCACGTCCACCCTGGGGTGCGTTTTCCAGTGTGCACCAGAGGCTGGGCGAGCTGTGAGCGGCCGGGCACTGTCACTCCCTGGGGCCGGCCAGGAGCACCCTCCTTTTGGGGTGGGGGCAGCTCCAGGTCCTGCTGCGCAGCGGAGCCCTGGGCTTCTGAGCCTGCGTGACCCTCGGGGATCAGGAGACCCTGCAGGCCCCGGGCTAGGATTAGGACCAGTGGTTACCTTATTTCACCTGCCAAGTGACTTGGGGTCCGGGAACATGGCTTCTGGTTCTTCCTCCTCCCCTCTCTGTGGCCTCGTGGGATCCGGGAACATGGCTTCTGGTTCTTCCTACTCCCCGCTCTGTGGCCCCGAGGCCTTGGTCCCGAGACCTAGGAGAGTTCTCCGATGTGAGCATGGGGTTGGGCCATCTCAGCGAGCCACCCAGTTCCTGCTTGCTGCCTTTCCATTTTCAAGACATTTTCATTTGAAAAGCAGATAACAAACATTAGGTATGTTTTCAGTCATTCCATATTTTTCCCTCTTTGCCCCTTTCCCCCTCCTCCCCCCGCTTCCCACCCCGACTTGCACAGAATGGTTTGCGTCTGAGGAAGGCAAAGGAGTGGGCACACCTGCCTGTGTTCCCACTGTGCGGCCCGTCCGTCACGGACGCGGGTGGAGCTGGCCTCTGCCGGCATCCCTGAGCGCTCTGCCTTTGTGTGGCCTCGCACGCATCTGGGTCCAGCTCACACAGGAGGCAGCGCGGCTGGGCTGCGCGGAGGGAAATCGTGCCGGCCTGCGTCTCCTCCTCGCCATTGTCCGCCGGCTGGCCTGCGCAGCTGCCAGGCTGCCTCCTGCATTCTTGGGGCTTTGCAGAGTCCCATAGAAACCTGCAAGATGCTGGCAATACTCGTTATTTTCTGCTAATCACCCGGCCGGCCGCCGTGAGCATATATGTAATATCAGACCGGCAATTACTGCGTCGGACCGGCGCTCAGCAGTTGTTTCTAATAATTACACTTGTTGCATTTGAATGGCTTTCTTCAGCCAAGCTGCCCCAGGAAACCAGGGTGAACAATGTCCCCTTCCACCCGGCCGAGGCCGCAGATGGCCGCCCTGTGTGGAACTGTAGTGCCCGAATTCATCTTTTGTGTGCACCAAAGAAGGTAATTTGAATGTTTGAAACCCCCACAGGAAGCTTGTCTCAAAGTGAACAATCGCCAAATAAGCACTAATTGGGGTCTAAATTAATTAGAAGGTGTGGTAGGAAAGGATGTTGATGAGCAGAGTCGGCCATTTCAGACCAAAGGAATAGAGCTAAATAAATTAGTCCCCATCAGTACCACACAGGTCGCCAGCATCGGCCAGAAAGCAGCCCTGGAGGCCGCCCTGGCCTCCCACGTGGCCGGGGAGAGATGTCTCCACGCTCCTTGCAGCTTCTACAGATTAGTATTTATATTTCCCGGGGGTTGTGTTTTCATCTGGAAAACTGGCCCAGACTGTTATTGACTTTACTTTTTTCATTGTCACTGAATTGTCAGAAGCAAGTTTTACAAAAAAAAAAAAAAAAAAAAAAAGTGAAATTGCGTCAAAGGAGGGCCTGGGGGTCAGGGAGGACAGTGGAATGGAAACACTGCAGCCACACCGGACTCCTGCGCCCTTTCTCTCCAACTTGGCGTTTGTGTTTTCCATGAAGCTCGGTTTCGATGTAACAAACCAGCACTTTCTGGGTGCGTCTGGGCCCTGGCAGCCCTCTGGTGAGCCATGCTCCAAAACCTCACCGCAGCACATGACCAGAACACACCGCGAGGACGTGTGTGACACCTTCCTGCTCTCTGAAAATGAAACGTCTGGTTCTGTCTTCTCTGCTTCCCTTCTCACAGATGGAGTGTTTGGAAGGTGCCAGAAGGTTCCAGCAATGGACTTTTACCGCTACGAAGTGTCGCCCGTGGCCCTGCAGCGCCTGCGAGTTGCCTTGCAGAAGCTCTCCAGCACAGGTAGGGCGCGCGTGGGCTGAGGTGTGGCGGTTGCCATCTCGAGCACTCACGTGGGTTTTGCTTCTCCTCCTGGGTGGCGAGGAGCTGGAAATGGACGGAATCTGCGGGTGAGGTGATGGGAGGGGCGGCTCAGAGCCTCACGCTGGGCTCACGGATGGTTCCTGGGTTCAGAGGAGCTCAGGTCTCCTGCCACCTGTGTCCCCAGGAGGAGATGTGGGAAGGCTGCAGTAGCCTCCCGTAGCTGGGCCTGGCACAAGGTGGGCGGGCGTTGGCTGCGTTCCTGGACCTGTCTGGGTCCGGTGCACGTGTGTCTCAGCCTGGAGAGAATTAGCCTCTGCCTGTCGCCGTCGTTGTGAAGTTTTTGTTACAGGAGGTTCCTATAGGGGTGATAAGAAGATAATTTAAAAAATTATAGGCTAGGCGCAGTAGCTCATGCCTGTAATCCCAATATTGGGAGGCCAAGGCAGGTGGATCACCTGAGGTCAGGAGCTCAAGACCAGCCTGACCAACACGGTGAATCCCTGTCTCTACTTAAAATACAAAAGTAGCTGGGTGTGGTGGCGCATACTTGTAATCCTAGCTATTTAGGAGGCTGAGGCAGGAGAATCGCTTGAACCCAGGAGGCAGAGGTTGCAGTGAACAAAGATCGTGCCACTGCACTCCAGCCTGGGTGACAAGAGTGAAACACTGTCTCAAAAACAAAAATAATTATATATGGCAACACGATAAGACCCGGGACTTCCCTAAGAACAGGCCCAATGCTGCCCTTCTTTGGCTGTGAAGTGAGGTCCCTTGGTCAGAAGCAGTGCTGTGTGGAAGCCATGGTGATGGATGAGGCGTCTGAGCCCACGGATGGTGGTTCTGGCAGGAGCACTGTGCGCAGGGAAGGGAAATCACATCTGGAGTCAGCATCCAGTTCAGCAGGGACAGCCCCAGCCCCTTCCAAGAGGGAAGCTGCCCGCGTAACCATCTGCCCCTGGTGGCTAGCTGATCACCTAGGGAGTGACGTCATGCTGGGGACTCAGGGTTGGTCTTTGTGGTGGCTGACTGGGAACTCAGGGGTGGCCACAGCAGGGCTGGCCGTGGTGAGTGGGAGCCCAGGTGCCACCTCCATCCCTGTCACCATGGCCACTTTGTTCATGGGCCCACTGGGAGCTGGCGAAAGAGGCTGACTGGTGTCCACAGAAAGGGTCGCTCTATCCACTTGGTTATTAAAATCCTCCTCTGCTGGGCCAGGTGCAGTGGCTCACGCCTATAATCCCAACACTTTGGGAGGCGGAGGCAGGCAGATCATGAAGTCCAGAGATCGAGACCATCCTGGCCAACACAGTGAAACCTTGTCTCTACTAAAAATATAGAATTATCCAGGTATGGTACTGTGTGCCTGCAGTCACAGCTACTCAGGAGGCTGAGGCAGGAGAATTGCTTGAACCCAGGAGGCAGAGGTTACAGTGAGCCGAGATCATACCACTGCACTCCAGCCTGGGCGACAGGGTAAGACTCCATCTCAAAAAAAAAAAAAATCTCTTCTGCTGAGGTCACTCCTTGGTGGACATTCTCATGGGACATTCATATCTTACTACTTTCTTCCACTTCACAGACGTCTGTCTAAGGTGTCTCTTCCCAGACCCCCTTGTCAGCAGTGTTTCCAGTCATGTTCTGTCCGAGTTCCTGGCCATCTGGCCAAACCATTGGCCACAGCCCATTAATTGGTAAATAATCACACATCTGGTCACTTCTTCCAGGCCAAATGACCAGCCAGGTGCACTGCTTCAGGCTCTGCTCGCTGGGAGGGTTTCTTTTCACCTCTTTCCTTCAGGGGGTCCCAGCAGGGGCGGTGTATAGTGCTGCACGGTCTGCTTTTGGGGGGTGCCTGGACATTCGTTACACAGAACTTCCCACAAACAAAGCCCGAGTCACCTGAACCCCATGGTCCATGGGAGACTCTCCACAAAGCCACACTGCAGGTTGAGAGAGAGGAGCGTGTGTGGCGGTGTGGGCCAGGGTGCGGAGCCCCTTCCTGACGCACACCACGGGGGCCTCCATGTGTGAGACCCCTTCCTGACGCACACCCCGGGGGCCTCCATGGTGCGGGGCCCCTTCCTGACGCACACCACGGGGGCCTCCATGTGTGAGACCCCTTCCTGACACACACCCTGGGAGCCTCCATGGTGCAGGGCCACTTCCTGATGCACACCATGGGGGCCTCCATGTGCGAGGCCACTTCCTGACGCACACCACGGGGGCCTCCATAGTTCGGGGCCACTTCCTGACGCACACCATGGGGGCCTCCATGTGCGAGGCCACTTCCTGACGCACACCACGGGGGCCTCCACGGTGCGGGGCCACTTCCTGACGCACACCACGGGGCCCTCCACGGTGCGGGGCCACTTCCTGACGCATACCACGGGGGCCTCCACGGTGCGGGGCCACTTCCTGACGCATACCACGGGGCTTCCACAGTGCGGGGCCACTTCCTGACGCACACCGCAGGGGCCTCCAGGGCGGCTTGGGCCCAGCTCCTCCAGATGGCTCTATCATTTGGCAGTGGGGTACTGTGCACAGCCCAGTGCAAGGCTGGCAGGGCAGGTGGATACAGGTGTCAGCATAGATGGCACAGACATAATGCTGCCAATGCAGGAACATCTGTGCAGTCAGTCATATTGAAGGAAGGTTGTGTGAATGTTCTACTGTTACATTTTCTGAGTTTGCTTGGCTTGTGAGCCTTACTCTGTTTTTCACCCTTCACTTTATTCTCTCTTGAGAAGAGGGAAAAAAGCCACTTTCTTATCCACCTTCTTATTTAAAGAGCACACAGATGGGCCAGCTTTTGCCAAGGTGATGGCTGGATGTGCTAGTGGAGGCCGGGGGTCTTTCAGTGAGATGGGTGTGGTGCTTTCAGAATCCCCCCGAGCCTAAGTGCGACCCTGCTCTAGGAATGCATGCAGCTGTCACTGTGCTGGTGCCTGCTGGTCATCTTCTCCCCACCCTCCGCCTGCACTCCATGGGATTAGGGAGGAAGAGAGAGCCAGACAGGAAAAGCAACATTCAGAGTTTTAAACAGAGATTTTAACTTTGGAATCTGCTCATTGGGAGCCTCTTTTCGTGTCCAACCTTCCCTCCACACCATTTCTGGCTTCACCTTCCTCATGCTGAGCTCCAGTCGGGGCTTCATCCGATGACCCTGAGCCTAAACCAGACTCTGAATCTGGAAAGGGCTGCATCCCAAGCGTGGCCAGTGCCTTCCCCTATGACTCTGCTCAACCCCATCTCCCTTGGAGGGCTCTGGGAATCCTCACTGCCTTGACACTCTCTGTGAGCCTGAGGCAACCTTTTACTATGTCCACATTTCTGGTACCTGCTCTTGAGGATAAGAACATCTTTATGGAGACGGGGTCCAAGGCAGCCCTCCATGGAGAATGGGAGTCCCAAGCAGCCCCGCGTGGGGCTGAAGAGGTTCTAGGCGGACCCACGTGGGAAGAGGGGTCCCAGGTAGCCCTGTGTGGAGATGGGGGTACCAGGCAGCTCTGTGTGGGGAAGGGGGGTGTCCCAGGCAGCCCTGCGTGGATTCTGGGGGTCCCAGGAAGCCCCATGTAGAGACGGGGCTCCCAGGCAGCCCTGCATTTCCATTCTTGCTCAGGCTCTGGCTGAGCATCTGCCCAGTTATGTCAGAACTGCCCATGGCCTGGAAGGCTGGAGCCTCCTGCCCAGCTCCATCCCCAGGGGCTGTGTCCTGGGCTGTCAGACTCTAGACAGTGAAAAGTCATCTTCTGCATTGTGGAGACAGAATTGCAGGCACATTCCCAGCTGGCTCTGACACAACTGTGGAGTGTGTCCTGGGCTGGGCATTTCCAGCAAACCCCGGGATGACCTGTGGCTGGAGGCCCCTTTGGTTGCTGGGGCCATTGGTGTGTCTCAGCCCTGCTCCTGCACCCAGTCTGGGATGCAGGCTTTTGAAAGGTGAATGTGCAGTGAAGGCATACATACCTGCACACATGTTCACAGGCTCGTGTGTAGATGCCCACACATGTGCACACACACCTGCAAACGCACTCACATGCGCATTTGTAGACACCCACACATGCACAAACTTGCACATACACCTGCACACACACATGCTCACATGTAGACACCCACACACATACGCACCTGTACACAGACCTGCACATGCATGCACATGCTCATGTGTAGATGCCCACATGCCTGCACACACACTCACATGCCCACATGTAGATACCCACACACCTGCACACACGTTCACAAGCTTACATGTAGATATCCACACATATGCATACACACTTGCACACACACATGCTCACATGTAGACACCCACATACCTGCACACGCACTCACATGCTCATGTGTAGACAACCACACACATAAACACACCTGCACATACACCTGCACATGCATGCACATGCTCATGTGTAGGTACCCACACACATGCACATGCATCTGCACACACACCTGCACACATACATGCTCACATGTAGACACCCACACACCTGCACACATTCATGTGCTCATGTAGACACCCACAAACCTGTACACAACTGCACACACACATGTCCACATGTAGACACCCACACATCTGTACACACACATGCCCACATGTAGATACCCACATATACTCACATGTAGACACACTCCCCACACACCTGCACTCATTCACATGCTCACATGTAGACATACATCCACAAACACCTGCACATGTATTCACATGCTTATGTGTAGACACCCACACACATATGCACATACCTGCACATGCACTCACATGCTCGTGTAGACACTCATGTGCACACACCTGCACATGCACTCACATGCTTACATGTAGACACATGCAAACATAGCTGCACACATACACATAGACCTGCACATGCATTCACATGCTCATGTGTAGTTCTTACACACATGCACACACAATTGCATATGCAGTCACATGCTTATATGTAGACACAGATGCACACACACTTGCACATGCATTCACATGCTCACATCTA